GTTTATGCATCCAAATTTTTTTTTTGTTGTTGCAACCCACTTTCTTTTTGTTACGACCCATTAACTTTTTAATTTACCTTTCAGATGTGCCATTTTATGATGTGGGAATTAGTCAGTTAAATAACTATCATATGTTTACATTTTGTTTTCTTTCCAACCTTTCACGTAATTAACTTGCTAATTCCCACACCAGGTCATATAATTACACATTTGAAATGTAAATTGAAACGTTAATGGTAAATGAGCGAAAAAAATACATAATTGGTCCATGCGTGATAACAACGAAACTTGATTGTGCTACAATGCCAATTTTTCTTAGCAAAAATTCCAAAATATAAAAGGAGCAACCTAGTTATGACGTACGAAACACAACATGGAAAATAAGTCACTAGGTGAAGGTTTTTGATGTATTTATTAGATTTTTTTATATTTAGAATAACTTCATGCATATAAGAAATATTTAATAATCTAGATAGGAAAAATAACAGTAGAAAATTATAAGTATATGATTAATGATAGTTGATTTACGATATATTATTATTTAGTGCATATTTTCTTTTACTGTCATACTAATCACTTAATATTTATCAACCACTTATTTATCTATTCTCTACTTTCTATCCTTTCATTTTATTAACATTTCATTACTCACTTAATGTGTCACACCCCGAACCGGAGAAACGGCGAAAACGTCCGGAGGTTGGGTGATTTTGTCTTCTAATATCATCACAGTGTATATAATTAAAACGAGACATCATCATCACACATACAATATTACAACAGTACTGAGTTTACATCATTGTACTTGTTTATAAAAGTTACATCCCAAAAATATAAAGTGTATGATAGCAACAAATTGCAACAAAAATCCACATGTTCTTGATGTCCACTTGCTTAACGATTTCCTGAGAATACAAGTTATTTTGAAAACGTCAACATATATAACATTGGTGAGTTCATAAGCATGTTTGAATGAAAGGTTTTGTATCATTTAGTAAACACTAGAAAATCCGATATTTTATGTACAATGGTTTGAAAGTTTTGTATCAAATCTTGTGTAAAGCATGTGTGTTTTCTGTTTTGAACGTGTATAAAAAGAGTGTTCCAGAAAATCCTATATTTTCTGTTGTAAGTAGAAGGTATCGTATAATTGTATGTTTTCCCAGGAAATTCTGATATTTTCTATTTATAAAAGTGTTGTGGTTTTAAAACCCTAAGACCGGATACCAATGTATGTATGTATTTTTTCGTATGATCAAAACTGTATATGTATTTTGTAAATTTTACAGTGGAGTTAATCTCTATGTGAGTCGTTATAACCATACTTGATAATGACTGCTTCGCCTGTCATGACATTTTTAGGTGCCGACTTGTTTAAGGTAAGGTTTGTCACCCTAGACTGGCCTAGTGTAATTGTAGCGAACAACTCAGGTGTAGGGGAGTCAACCCCGTATAGATCTATACACAAACTCTCGCTCTCCCTCAAGAAGACTTTGGTTATAACTAAAGGCTTAAGGTTGTACACTAGATAGGTACGGATGAATGAAATGTCTCACAAGAGCCTTAACTGAATTTACGCGAACATTGTATTACACTATGTAACGCAATAAATAATGTTTCAGAGTATGTTTAAGTTTACTAGGCACAACAAGCATGTAAATGGACCACAAAGGCCCAATAAACATGTAATGTATATTCCAGGCCCAGTAAGCATGTAAATGGACCACAAAGGCCTAATAAACATGTAATGTATATTCTAGGCCCAATAAGAATGTAAATGGACCACAAATACCCAATAAACATGTAATGTATATTCCAGGCCCAATTAAAAGTGTAATTGACGTACTTAGTCCGTTTATTATTACGTTGGTTATTTAAATTCAATTATTTACCAAAATGACATAAAATACCCACTTTTTTTAATAATGACATTTTTGGTCCATAAAACCGAAAATTTACAATTAGGGCACATTTTTGGTATAAATGACACTTTAGGTCCTTTAAGACCAAAAGTTTACATTTAAGGGCTTATTTTAAATAAAATATCATTTTAGCCCACTTTTTGTTAGAATTACATTTTCAGCCCTTTTTGATGAAAATTTTACCTTTACAGCCCAAATGTATAGAAACTTAACCTTCCCAAGATTAATAAAATTTACATTTTCAGCCCATATAACCAAAAATTTACATTTTTGGATCAAATTTGTTTAAAATGAAAATTTAACCCAAAAAGTCGAAAGTTTACAAATTAAGCCCATGAAACTGTGAAGGCCCAATGATAAGCCCATTTTGTGAAAATTAACACTTTTGGCCCTTTTAAAACCATAAATATCTTTAAGACTCATTTTTATATAAAGATGACTCTTTTGGTCCTTGAAAAACCGTGAATGCCCTAAAGGCTTCACCTTTTTTTTTTATTTGTCAAAAATGGCCCCTTAAATGATTTTTAAATAGTTTCAAACATCCATAACATGTTTAATCTCTTTCATTATCATGACAAGTTGCATAAAGTGTTTTGATTTACAAACATCACCAAAATTTTGTAGATCTTTCGACATTTATGAAGATTTAACACTTAGTCTCAACATATAACATGGAAAAACACACATAAACATGCACAAACACATAGATCTAACATAAAGCAACATGTATCCTCCCCCAAAACATAGTAAAAACCAAAAATAAGGGGTATCAACTCACTTTGGGGTGTTGGATTCGGTTTTCGTGAAGAGTTTGAAGGATTTTTTGGCCTAGCTTACTCCTTGATGAGATCTTTGAATTCTAGGAGATTCCAAGAGCATGAATCACGGTTTGGAGTGCTAATGAGTGAAAGATTTGTCTTATGATGAAGTTAAACACTTGAATAGAGAGTATCCTACCAAAATGATGAACCTTGATGAAATATTCTTGAACACACGCACAAGCACACACGAAAGTTTGGAAGAAAAGTGAGAATTCTTTAGGATTTAGAGAGGTGTCTTAGTGTGTTTGGAAGTTTGAATGGAGAGTGGATATTTTTCTCCTTTGGCCGAGAATAAAAAGAAGAAGAACGGAATGGTTATTACGGTACTTAACCTTGGAAACATGTGAGGTAATTGCATGGATTACTTATGAATAAAGATTAAGTGTTAAGTCTTGGATCTTATGAATTTCTCTCTTTTTTTTACATACATATGTATGGGTCAAGAATTGGATAGGGAATGGTGAGAATTTTTGGATGTTTGGGCTAGTATTGAATATACCCGAAATTGTACAATAAGGAAGTTTTTGGCCCATTGGGCCCACATTGGTATTTACGGCCCAATATAATAAAAGGAAATGGGTTTTGGGCCCATTATGATCAAAAGAGATGGTTTTCAGCCCAACAAGGCCCATGAAAACCAAATAAGACATTTTAAGCCCAATATGCTATAATTTCATGAATATGGGTCCATTTAGGGCCCAAATGAGGATTCTTAGCCCAAAATAACCAAGTTGTGGGTTTATTGGCCCATTAGGCCCAATAAATGATTCCCGGCCCAATAAATGTTTGAACCGGGAAATTAGGGTTACAGCCCCAAGTAGAGTGTATGAAATGTATAGAATTAGGTTTTGGGCTTCACGAGTGAGTTTTTGATTTGAATAGTTGTTTTTGAATGAGTAATATATATAACCTTAAACTTGAAGTTACAAGATACATCAAGAATTGATTACATACATACATAATTTCCTAGCCAAAATGTTAGTTGTGACATAATGATATATTGTGTATTTATAAATTTATTATTTTTACAAATTAATATAGTTTATTAAATATGTAAATTAAAATTATAACATTTTATTTGATTTGATTTTTACTCTTTTAGCTATATAAATGATGTAATAACATGAATGTGAAGTATGATATTGATATTGCTATGAACTAGATCTTAAATTAAAATAAAAAACAATAGTAAAAAGCTTAATTATATTGATTAAAAACTCAATATAACACCAAGATAATAAAAATAACCCCAATGCTTGCTAGAATTTCTAGAGTCTAAATCTCTTCTAAAGGTTCCATCCTACATTCTTATAAGCACTTTATTGCAACAACTAATCAATTGCAACAACTAATCGGTGTGAATACCCTAAATATCCTCCATTAAAACTATGCTCTTTATTTTTACTGATTTCCCATTTACCTCTATCTAAATCACTTGAATAACAGTGGAGCCTAGAGGTATAACAAATGAATGACTTTTTTGTTTGGTATAACAAATGAATGACTTTTTTAAACAAAAAAAACTATAGAAGAAGATTTTATGAAACGTTTCAAACAAATGAGGATACATGTCTAATATTAAAAAACTTTCAAAAATAAAATGATGTATTAAAAAATGTTGTAAAAATAGTTTTCTTTATTGATTTAAAAATAATAGATTTTAAGAATAATTACCTATGTTTATCAGCAATCAACAACAAACAAATATTTTATTAAAATATTATTTTCTTATTTTTAAACCTTTTTTTACCATTTAATAACAACACACCCACATAAATATGGATAAATTAATTATTAAATATATGATATTATTATTATTTTTCTTTAAAATATTATTTTCTTATTTTTAAACCTTTTTTTTACCATTTAATAACAACACACCCACATAAATGTGGATAAATTAATTATTAAATATAAAATATTATTATTATTTTTCTTTAAAATATTATTTTCTTATTTTTAAACCTTTTTTTACCATTTAATAACAACACACCCACATAAATATGGATAAATTAATTATTAAATATATGATATTATTATTATTTTTCTTTTAATTAATTAGTAGCACCATTTTTGTTTTTAATTAACTTTCTTTACAATTGGTTGCTACCAAAGGCTTGTCAGCCAAATGGGTTGCCACTTTTGATAGTTTTATCTTTTTTTCCTTTTTGGGCTTTTCTCTTGCAATTGGTCCCCATATGCCTATATACCCCTTGATAAATATTAACATGTTATTTAAGAATATACTATTTACTATCTAGCATATCATTATTGACGATGCATTTTAGCCACAAGAAATTTCTCACAAAGAAAAACATCACAGAATTGCCCTCAAGATATTCGCATCAAACAAATCAATGTCAAGGATATTTTCGTCCTTTCACATCTCAATCGTACGATCAAGTTTTCCTTCCAAAGCTTTCAAATACTTGCACATTTCTCACCCACACACACACACTCCGATACTACACGCACTTGCTCCAAGCCTACAATGGCGTTGCAAATTCATCAAATCTGCCGGCCAATTCCATCGACATCGTCGTCGATTAGCTCATTGCCGTCATGTTTCGCAAAACAATCCATCGTCGCCGGAGACATTCATCAGTTTACGTCTCTGATGATTGCAAATAAGAAAAACGGAAACAGGAAAGGATTGAGCTCGTCGTTGACGGTGAGATCGAGTTTGGAAACCGCCGGTCCCACGGTGGTTGTCGGCCAGGTGACGGAGGTTAGTCAAGACACGTTTTGGCCTCTGGTCAATGCCGCCGGTGATAAGATGGTCGTTCTCGATATGTACACTCAATGGTTAGTAAATCAGCTTAAACTCAAATTCAAATTCGTACTCTTTCTTTCCTAAAATTGAATTACTGTTCTTATCATCTTATCCTCTAGATCCAGTAAAGTAAACTTCAAAAAATTAAGGTCTCGTACTCTCGTTCTCATTATTATCAACCACTGATTCAATTTTGATATCTCGAAATTATGCAAAATTTGTTGTTTAAATTCATTCATTCAACATCACTCTTTTGTATTTATACAATTGAATCGTGTAACATAGTGATTTTTTCTACTCGATTGCTTGCGAAATTAAGGTGTTTTGTGGATTTAATTCTTCGTGAAACTTAAACAGGTGTGGTCCTTGCAAGGTGATTGCTCCAAAATACAAACAATTAGCTGAGAAGTACCTTGATGTGGTCTTCCTAAAGCTTGACTGCAATCAAGATAACAGGGTCAGTTTTTAACTGATCCAAAATAAGCTTTTTGATGCTCATCATTTATCATACCAAAATGCATACATTGTGCTTGTAAATTTACAAGCAATGTGAAAAAGCTTTGAAACACAGTAGCTTTTTTGACATGGTGAACATGTAAATATTTTATGTTATATGTAAATATAATGTATAATTTTAACCCTATGAAATACTATATAATAATAATGATAGTTAACAAACAATATATTTAAAAAAATAAAAAATTTAAAAGATAATAAAAGCTTATTCAAAACTCAAACAAGTTAAAACACAAATACTATCATTTAGTTATTTAGAAAAACAAAATTTTACTTAAATTAAAATATTGATTTATTTTTTCAAAAAAATTCGCGTCATTAAAAAGCTACATCAGCCTAAGGTTATGTTTGGCGCACCACAGCTACTTGTTAAGCTAACTTATTTTTTGAGTTTTCTAAAATTGTCATGTTTGACAAACCAAAAAGTAGCTGATAAACTAACTTTTTAAAAAGCTACTTTGAGTAGCTTTCCAGGAGTTTTTTTTTAAAATTTTCCAGATATACCCTTAATTATTTATAAAAACCTTTTCTTCTAAATGTCCTTTTACGCCATTTTATACCTTTCAGCTAGTTTTTACCAAACGTTATTTTTTATCACCTAGCTTATAAGCTAGCAACTAGATTATTAGCTAGCAACTAGCTTTTCAGTTATCAGCTAGCTTTTCAACTAACTTAAACAAAAATCAAAGGAATAACATACCATTCCTTCGGGAATGATTTTTTTTTTTTTTTTTTTAAGGATTTTGAAAATCTATCAATACTGTTTTAAAAAATGATAAACTAAAGGATATAAACCAAGACCCATCACACATATACTGAATATTGTGAATATCGATTGATGAATAACAGGCATTGGCAAAAGAGTTAGGAATAAAAGTGGTTCCTACTTTCAAGATTCTCAAAGATAATAAGGTTGTAAAAGAGGTTACAGGGGCTAAGATTGATAAATTAGTTGGTGCAATCGAGGAGGTTAGATCAAGTTGATATATACATGATTATGGTACATTTGTGTATAATGTTTAAGAAATGAGGGTGTTATTCCACTTTAATCTATGTAAGTTTTAATTTGATAGGATAATATTTAATCTAGTATGTTATATATTAATGCTTTTCTACATAATACAAAGCATGGTTGTTGATCTTGATCTTACGTGAATTATCAATCTTAGCCCGAGTCTCAAAAATTGACAACATTTAAGATCTTAAGATTTTAAGATCCTACAAGTGAAACACTATTTAGGGGGTGTTTGGCTTAACTTTTTAAAGCACAAAAGTTATTTTTGGAAAAGTTATAAAAAGTCAGGATTTTCTGACTTTTCCAAAAAGTTTCCTTGTATAAAAACTCCAAAAGTAACTTTTTAAAACTAATTTTGTCAAACATCTTTTGTTTTTTTTTCTTTTTCAAAAAGGACTTTTGGCTGTGAAAAACTAAGCTAAACACCCCTCCTAAATCACATTATGATCCCGATCTCACCTCTGTACTTTATTATAAGTTGAGTCTCAAAAATTCGTCTGTTCAACTTGTAATCGAACATCGCAAGTTGCAAGAAGACATATATAGTTGAATTATCAATCTTAGCCCGAGTCTCAAAAATTGACAACATTTAAGATCTTAAGATTTTAAGACCCTACAAGTGAAACACTATCTAGGGGGTGTTTGGCTTAACTTTTTAAAGCCCAAAAATCATTTTTGGAAAAGTTACAAAAAGTCAGGATTTTCTAACTTTTCCAAAAAGTTTCTTTGTATAAAAACTCCAAAAGTAATTTTTTAAAACTAATTTTGTCAAACATCTTTTACTTTTTTTCTTTTTCAAAAAAAACTTTTGGCTGTTAAAAGCTACGCTAAACACCCCCTCTAAATCACATTATGATCCCGATCTCACCTCTATACTTTATTATATAGTTGAGTCTCAAAATTTCGTTTGTTCAACTTGTAATCGAACATCGCAAGTTGCAAGAAGACATTTTAAGCATCACTATTTCATCAATTCATTTCGAATTAGACATAATGCACTCATAATAATCCCTTTGTGATCTTATGTCGTTATATATGATCAAATTGATTTTTTTTTCTAGGTAAGATGTTTTATTCTTAATTTTTACGGTTTGAAGCAACAAAAATCATGATTCATGCTCGAAAAGTTAAAGTTGATTCCATTATCAGCATCTTAATCAACATCAAGTTAAATTTGATTTCACTATCTGCATCTTAATCTTGATCTTGACAAACTTGATACAAAGAATTGATTTTAAAAAAAAAGAGACTAGTATAACTTGTTTGAAGCGAACACTTTGAAGTATGTTCTTGTACATACGAAACAATACATTCATACGCTAAGTAAGAGAGGATAATCACATCTCATAGACGGTTTTATCAAATATATATATATATATATATATATATATATATATATACCTTAAAAAGCATTTACTAGATTTTGCTGAATTTTAAGAGGTACAAGCTTTTAAGCATCACATACAATAATTTTATGCATCGGAGAATAATAAATCTTATCTGATCAAAGACAGATTTTGAATAGGTCTTCTAAGCTTATCTTCAAATTGAATGGGTTAAATATGAAAAAGTCAAATAAGATGATGATGATAAGATTTTGAATGGGTCAAAGTGTGCATCATATCCAATTGAATCGGTAAATACTAAATCTTATCCGGTTAACATTTATGAAAAAGTCAAATAAGATGATGATGATAAGATTTTGAATGGGTCAAAGTTTGAACAAGTGTTCATCATATCCAATTGAATCGGTAAATACTAAATCTTATCCGATCAACATTTATGAAAAAAGTCAAATAAGATGATGACGATAAGATTTTCAATGGGTCATAGTTTGACCAAGTGTTCCACATATCCAATTGAATCGGTAAATACTAAATTTTATCCGGTCAACATTTATGAAAAAGTTAAATAAGATGATGATGATAAGATTTTGAATGGGTCAAACTTTGACCAAGTGTTCCTCATATCCAATTGAATCGCTAAATACTGAATCTGTTAATAATAATGAAAAAATCAAATAAGATGATGATAATATTTTGAATGGGTCAAAGTTTGACCAACTGTTCTTCATATCCATTTGAATCGGTCTAATACGATCCACGTTATAAAGCATTTCATATAAACTGGAAGAGGCGCATTGATGTAGCATTCGTCTATCATGAATGCCTTGTCATTGACCGCAAAACCTTGGTTCTCTCTCATGCTCGCTACCTCCTCCTTTGTTTTTCTTTCTATTAAAATCGAATAATCCCAAAAATATCTTACGTTTAATCCTAACCCAGGTATAAGAAATCTCTATCTGTTCGTCATTTTGTTTAACAAATATTTTATGTCATTTTGTTGATTCGTACCCGACGCTTTGCGCGGGTAAACAGTTAGTGTGTGTGTGTGTGTATATATATATATATATATATATATATATATATATATATATATATATATATATAAAGAGAAAAGAAAAACAAAAATATAAAAGTAATGGTAAAATAGTCTTTTTAAATAGACTGAGGATGAGTAGTGCAATTTTTTTAAACCAAATGGATGCATCTTGTCAAATTTTCAAAAGTTGGATCGAAAGTGAAAATATGATCAAATCTCAGGGACCAAAACTGTAATTTACTCTATAATTTTTGTTAATCGGTTTCTTTCCAACTCTCAATTCGATATGGCACACGGGACCTCCGAAAAAAAAAATCCATGTCTCAAAAAATTGTTCATCTACTATCTATCTTCTCTAATAAATTAATTATTTTTTTTTACATGTCATTTTATAAGTTTTTATTTTTATTAAATCCACATAATATTTTAATATAATAATTGCAATAAATGTAATAATAAATGGATATTAATTTCAGTAATAAACTTACATTTTAATTTCAAAATTCCTAAAATTAAAACTCAATAGTTTTTTTATTTAAATTATTTGTTTGAATTTAAAAGATAAAAAACATTTCCATTATAATAAATCATTATTTTTCTTATTTTCTTACAAATTTAAAATATTCAACTTTTTTTAATAACAACTAGTTTCCAATAAACTAAAAGAACCTTCTAAGATATATCAACTAATAAGGGAAAATGACTTAGGAGGGTAACTACCTCTTATTAGTGTTCACATATTGGCAACTTCTTCTTTTTTGTACATAATAAAACAACTAACTTGTTTTAACTGTTTAGATTACACCAATATTACTGACTAATACCTGTTTTAACCGGTCACTCAAAGGGAAAATGACTTAGGAGGGTAACTATCTTTTATCAATGTTCACATATTGGCAACTTCTTATTTTTTGTACATAAAAAAGCAACTAACTTGTTTTAACTATGTAACATTCCAAAAATCATGACCAAAATTTTCGTTTTTAATTTAATATTAAAACCATAATTGTCAAACCATTAATTTAATACTCCGGTATTGGGCCTCGCCCGACATCAGACCCCGCCTGACATCGAGCCCCGCTCGGTATACAAATATGTCTCTCTTAGGTCTCGCCTGTCTCCGGGCCCCGCCCGCTAAACACATACAATCATATAACATGCTAACACATAAAGAAACATACTCTCCTGTATCCCTATCCTAAGAAACATACTTTGCTAATAATGAGATACGGAACTTCGTCCGTACTCAGCTAATTCCAGACAGGGCTTCAGTGGTGCAAGGTGAGTTTCCTCACTGTATGAATGGGTCTAATGCCACAATGCCAGCCCATATAGTCTATGAGTAGGAAGACCCAGGGGTTAGCCCTAGGCATTGTTTGCTAGATTATACTTGTTGTCTGTGTGATACTTGTATGTTAGATTATACTTGTTGACTACGAGCGATGTTCCGTATCTCATTATTAGCAGAGTATGTTTCTTAGGACAGGGATACAGTAGAGTATGTTTCTTTATGTGTTAGCATGTTATATGATTGTATGTGTTTAGCGGGCGAGGCCCGTAGACATGCGGGGCCTAAGAGATGCAGATATGTATATCGAGCGGGGCTCGATGCCAGGCGGGGCCCGATGCCGGAGTATTAAATTAATGGTTTGACAATTATGGTTTTAGTATTAAATTAAAAACACAATTTTTGGTCAGGATTTTTGGGATGTTACACAGTTAAAACAAGTTAGTTGTTTTCTTATGTACAAAAAATAAGAAGTTGCCAATATGTGAACACGGATAAGAGGTAGTTACCTTCCTAAGTCATTTTCCGTTTGAGTTACCTGTTAAAACAGGTATAGCCGGTAATATTTGTGTAATTTAAACAGTTAAAACAAGTTAGTTGCTTTATTATGTACAAAAAAGAAGAAGTTGCTAATATGTGAACACGGATAAGAGGTAGTTAGCCTCCTAAGTTATTTTTCCCAACTAATAATTCTTATGTTTCTTTTCAATGTTAAATTAGATTTTTTGGAACAACAAACAAATATCATTAGAAAAAAAAGCAACACTTAGTTCAAAAATTAGATATTAGTTCAAAATCCAAAGAACCATTATGATGGGTTATAAAACTTGTTTTAACATTTCTCGAACCAATGATTTTGGTATTTGAACCCGTTTTCTGCAATTTTGTTTTTTTTATTATAAAAACATCAAATTAATATAGTAAAGATGTATTACTATCTTGGATCATCGTGATTTAGCCTATATATTATATATAGATATTAAAAAAAACTTATGATTGCAAAATGCAAATACTAGTCTATTGATTCGAACTCTTAATTTGATGCAACAAATGAATTTCCTATTATGATAACCATGCAACAACCCAAAAAATTAACCATAAAATGTTGGTTATTTTGATAACCAGAACATAAACGTGAAAGCATAAACTTTGAATCTTTAATCTCGAATTTGATTAAAGGAAAACTTAAACATAAAAGGATGATTGCATACCTAATTTCATTATGATCTTTGGATCTGAAGAATTAGGATTGAGTTTTTTAGTTGATCTCAAGACCACTTTAAGAACCCTCATAATGAGACTCACAAATTTGTTTATGTAATGTCAGTATATCTTGATTTGCTCCTCATCACATGTATTTATAGATGAAGATAAACCCTAATGTGAGAGATGAAAATGATCTTGAGGATCTTGAATCAAACCGAAAACTCAACCCACAACATAAGTAAACATTTTATAAATTGGTCAATCAACAATTTATATGATTACCATAATAACTATATTTAATGATATATATGTATAATATGATACCATTGTTATCTAATATAAAAGTTTCATTAAAAAAATTCCCAATGAAAACAACTAAAAGGACCGAATTTATGATAATGCAGAAGTATAAG